GTGGCTCAGTCAGTCAAGCATCTGCCTTCAGCTCAGGTCATGATCTCAGGGACCTGGGATTGAGCCCCCACATCACATCAGGCTCCCTGCTCAGTGGGGGGTCCGCTTCTCCTTTTCCCTCTCTCTTTGCCCTCCCCCTACTTGCGCGCGTGCACTCATGCTTTCTCTCTCTCAAAGAAAGAAATAAAATCTTTTTAAAAAATTGCAGGACACCCAGCTGGTGTTGGAGAACTGTTTGGTGTAGGGGCACCCCCCCGAACACACACATATTTGGTGACCAAAAGTACTGAGAGCAGGGGAGGAAAATTCAGTTTTCCCTTGCACCTTCATTGCCACTGCATTTGCTTGACCACAGCAGCCCTAACCATCCCCTTCCCTGTTGGAAGACCCTTGTCTTATTCCATAGCTGTCCTTGCTCCTCAGGTATAAACACAGACTCAGAACCACCCCTTCACCGTGCTGAAAAATCCCTCAGGGGTTATTCTTTTAGTGGCAGCAGATCCTGTGTTTGGGGATTGGGTGACCTCTGAGGATGTGCGAGGCCCCGGCCATACTCGTCACTCACAGGGACTAACATTGCCTAACCCTTCCGAGAGGAATCTCCATTAAAACATGACGGAGAGAGGGGCACCTGGGTGGCTCAGTGGGTTAAAGCCTCTGCCTTCAGCTCAGGTCATGATCCCAGGGTCCTGGGATCAAGCCCCGCATCAGGCTCTCTGCTCAGCGGGGAGTCTGCTTCCTCCTCTCTCTCTGCTTGTAATCTCTGTCTGTCAAATAAATAAATAAAATCTTTAAAAAAAAAAAAAAGACATGACGGAGAGGGACATCTGGATGGCTCAGTCAGTTAAGTGTCTGCCTCTGGCTCAGGTCATGATCCCAGGGCCCTGGGATTGAGTCCCGCATCGGGTTCCCTGCTCCATGGGGCGCCTGCTTCTCCCTCTGCTTGCCTCTCCCTCTGTCTGCTGCTCCCCCTGCTTGTGCTCTCTCTCTATGACAAATAAAAAAATAAAAACTTAAAAAAAAAAAAAAAAAAAGACATGGTGGAGAATTTTGGGAACATGACCTGACTTGGTTTTAAGATTTTGAATCCTTGTTAGCTACCTGGTCCCCCTGCTTCCCATAATTGGGTTCTGATACTTCCCTTGCTGGAAATGGGCACATTTCCTGGGATCTGAGTCTACCCTCTCCAGCCCCCAGGTGACCTGTCTTTGTATCGAAGAACTTGACCATGGAGTTCAACTTCCGGCCCAAGATGGCTGTCCCCTTAGAGAGCAGCCCAGCCTGTTGGCATCCCCAGCCGTGTCTGTTTCATGTTGGCAGAGAGACTGTGGCTGCTTTGGGTCCATTATCTCCCTTTTCCTGTTTCCAGTGCTATGAATAGAATTTTATTTTCCCCAGCCTAATTTGATCATCGTCCTAGAACAAGGGGGAACATGATGGCTACCAGATCTGCTGGCCGCTGCGGATGGAGGGCTTCGCTCACACTGGTGAGTGAGGGGAGTCCACTAGCGTCCCTCCTGAGGTAGCTCCTGCCTGTGTGCCTTCTGAAACATTGACGCATCCAAGGGCAGAACGCTAATTCAGATGAGTCCTCATTTTCTCTTGTTCTCTCAGCCACTAGGGGGAAATCATATAGAAACTTCTACAGGAATACCCTAGTGCGCCTTTCCTCTCCCCTGGGTTAGCCATCAGCACCCAGAGGACATCGGCTGATGCCCCTGCCTCTGTCTGGTCTGTCTGCAGGCAGTGAAGACCCCAAGGAAATTCGCCAGCAGCCATTCCCCTGTACCTGCTGCTGTGTCGTCTTACCCCTTTCCTTCTGGGGACTCACTTCGTCTCTACACATCAGCTGACTTCCTGTTCACCCCCTATGTGTTTTGCCCGGCCCTTCGTTTCTCCCTCCGACTCTCTGTGTGTTACCAGCACACTCGGACTTCTCTGGCCTTCTCTGGCCTTCTCCGTCTGCTGCCTCTTGGCCCGGTCCAAGCCCCCTTCCCTCCCTTCCCACGGAGGCATGGGAGGATGAGGGCCATACCCCAGCATTCTCTCTTCGCTGGTTCTGTTCTCAGGTTGGTTTTGGTGCACAGGGGCTACCCGTGGCTATCCTCTGGTCATGGTCATGCAGGTGTTTTTCTTTGTCAGGCAGTGAAGAAAGCAAAGCTGGGAAGGTGGAGTCAGCTGGGAAGCAGGGCATTTCCAAGGATGCTAAGTGGGGAGGGAAGGCGTGGGGAGAACTCCCAGAGGCTGGGCCTCAGAGATCTAATTTTGTCGAATCCCCTGAGTCCCGAGAAACCACAAGAAGTCTTAGGAGAAAAGATCCTTCAAGTATGGCGAGTGCGGGAAGAGGTCCACTGGGAAGTCACGACTTACTGCTGAGCGGAAAATCTGCTGGAGAGAGGTTTGCGCTCTCCCGTTCCCGCGGCCCAGAGAAATTGTCCTTGAGAACAGTCTGATGGAGGGAAGGAGCATGAGGAAGCCCTGAGAAACATACACGTTCTGGTGGATCCGTGTACTCACACCAGAGAACGTCACTCCTGTAGCTAGTGTGGGAAGGTGTGTGTCCAGGGCTCCGACCACCGGCTGCAGACAGAAGGCCTGTGAACGGGAGCAACATGGCAAAACCTTTAGCTCCAGTTCCCAGCTTCTGACACAGGGAAGAAGTGTCCTGAGCACTGAGGGTGGAGAGAAAGCTCTAGAAGTTAGTCGCTCAGGCTACTCATTGGTCCTTCATAATCGACAAAGCTCTGTGAATGTAATGGATATAGAAGAACTTTCCAAGACAACGAGGCCCTTTCTCCTTTTCTTCCTGATGGGAAGAAGTATGGTGGGTCTGTAAGGTGTGTGGAGGGGCCTCTTCTCAAGAGGCTGACCACACAGCCCACGCTGGAGAAAAAGCCGTAGAGGCCACAGAGAGAGCGGTCCCCACCTCATCACACACCGGAGCATTCACACCCCAGCTGGGCCGTCTGTGTGCAACAAGAGTGGAGGGCTTTTCTGTATTATGTTCACTACTGTGCCCCACAGTTCACCCTGTAGAGAAGCCCCACAAATGCCAACGCTCCCAACACTGGGTTCCTCTGAGTAGCCTCTGGAGGAAAGCCTTTTACCTGTGGCGAGTCGGGGAAGGTGTTCAGGGAGCAGCCCTGTGTCTTCACCCATCAGACTCTTCCTGTTCCAGAGAAGTCTTACGAGTGCGAGAGGCCTGGAAAAGCCTTCAGCCAAGCCCAATGGAAGGGCCCATCGAAGAAGAGTCCACACAGGACAGAAACCTGGGAGTGTTGCAGATGTGGGAAGGCCGTTAGGAGAAATCCCAACCTTACTGGTCATCAGAGACCCCATTCAGGGAGAGGCATTGACGGGGAAGGAGGAGGACCCAACGGTGTTTAGCAACCACGGAGACTGTCATTCACATAGTAGGTTTCATAACCATTTCCAAGCCTGGGAGTGTGACCAGTGGGAAAGCAGGAAAAGATCTCCCCTTCCTCTCTCCCGGAATGGATGCAGGAGACCAATGGTGCAAACCCAGCAAGGAGGGGGAAGCCTTCCCTGTGGCTAATTTCTGAGCACGGGTCACTAAACTGTTTCTGTAAAGCTGGAGAGTAAAAATGTTCGGCTTGGGGTCTGTCCAGCCTCTGTGGTCGCAACTCAGCTCTACTGTTGGAGCAGAGAAGCAACCGGAAGTCTGTACGCCAATGCGGGTGGCTGCTTTCCAGCATGATTTGCTTTACGAAAACAGAGAGCTGACCCGATTTGGCCCGCAGATCCTACTTTGCCATTCCCTGTTCCAGAGAGAGAGCCTCTCGAGAAGCCTTGGTAATCAGAGGGTGGAGTCACTAGACGGGATTTCTAATGCCCAGCGGTCTTGGAACAGCAGGGTCAGTGGAGCGGAACCTTCTGGGAGGGGAGGGGGGCGGTGCTCCAGTCTCGTGAGAGGGGCGGTGGGAGAGGCATGAAAGATCCAGAAACCTGGGTTTTGCCATAAAATAGCCGAAGGACCAGCACGCAGTCACTCAGAAGTCACAGGGCTTTCATGAGAAGAACAAGAGCATATATCCAAGAGTGCTTCCAAAGTGAATATGGTAAACACACAGACACACACACACACACACACACACACACACACACACGTTGAAGTAATTTCTGCGCTGAATGTGGGTCTCGAACTCACAATCCCAAGATCAAGAGTCGCACACACGCTCCACTGACTGAGCCAGCCAGGTGCCCCGCTATGGTGAACGCATTTGTTGATCTGTGTGAAAAGATGTTACTCTTCCTCCAAACAGTGTTTGAGCCCCTGCGGCGCCAGGTTCCTACAGAGGGAAGTCAAGAGCGTCAGTGTGCGGACAGTGCTTAGAGCTGTGGGACAGGATGATTTCACCAAGGGGACTCACGAGGGTCGTGCTGGGGGGCCTCCAACATTTAGCAGTAGGGAGAAGTGGGGCACTCAGTCTGAAAGATTGTGAAAGCGGCCTGTGAAGTAGGAAGACATTCCTGGGGCCAGGAATGCAGGGAAGGAAGTGTCTGAGGAGGGACGGTCACCTCTGAGTACTGCTGTCCGGCAGGCGGGGGTAGGACTGGGCAGGGACAGTACTGGGCAGGGACGCTGGCTCTGCTGAGGGCCCTGTCTGAGCTCCCTGGGGTTCCCCCAGTACCCAGCACCGGGCCAGCAGCTTAGAACAATAGGAATTCTCAGGGTTCTGGAGGCCAGAGGTCCAAAATCAAGGTACGGGCGGGGCCGGGCTCCCTCTGCGGGCCCTGGGGGATGCTCCTTTGCCTCTGCCAGCTCCGGGGGCTCCTGACGCTCCCTGGTTTGTGGCCATGGAACTCCATTCTCCGCCTGGGTCTTCTCAAGGCCCGCTGTCCCATTCCTGTCGCTCCTGCGGCTCCTAGGACACTTGTCTTTGGATTTAGGGCTCGTCTCGTAATCCAGGATGATCTGGTCTCAAGATTCTTAATTACATTGGCAAACACCCTTTTTCCAAATCTGTTCACACTCACAGGTTCCAAGGTTCCAGGATGTGGCCGTCACTCTTGCCGGGGCTCCTTCCAGCCCGCTCTGGGTTTTGCAGGTGAACTGATGGTAACAAAGCCCGTGATGAAGGGAGCCAGTTCTGGAGAGATCAGGGGCAGAGGCAGCGCGGCCAGCAAGCGAGTCTCAAGCTGGAGGGTAAGACTGAGTCACGCTGGCCTGATGAAAGCCGGGGTCCTCTGATATCCACCATCTGTGTCAGATGTAGCACGCCCCCCACCCCTGCCACAAGCCATGGCCTTTCTGGAATCATCCTGCAGTGGGCACATTGTATCAGGGTCTTTAGAGGCCTCACGAGCTTGGGGAGGGGGAGAGGCGGTGAGGAATAGCATTGCCAAGGCCTCCCGGGGCAGGCGGTAAAAGACCTGAAACTCATAATGGCCCTGCTTCCCTGAGCACCTCTAGAAGGCCTGACGGCGGGGCAGTGGCGGGAGGTTGGTGGGCAGAAGCTGCTTACCTGCAGTCATGGGGCAACTCTCCACACCTCTGCACAACCACGAGACAACTATCCTCACATTGCTAAACCCACATCCCAAGCTTGCAGGAGAAGAGGTAGTCTTCTTTCTTCTTGAATGCGGGGGCACCCACGGGAGGAGCTGGGCTTGTCTTCGGGCCCATATTCAGATCTTCGCCAGTATAGCTCATCCTAGCCAAATGTTTTGCCTAGGAAATCTCCCCCCCCTCAAAGATTTTATTTATTTGTCAAAGAGAGAGAGAGAGAGAGCACAAGCAGGGGGAGTGGCAGGCAGAACAGACAGAAGGAGAAGCCGGCTCCCCGCCGAGCAAGGAGCTCCATGCGGATTCAATCGGAGGACACTGGGATCATGACCTGAGCCCAAGGCAGTGGCTTAACCAACTGAGCTACCCAGGCATCCCATGCCTAGGGAAATCTTAAACAGGGACACCAACAGTGGGGTGCTTTTGGGAATTGTGTGAGCTGAGGTCATCTCAGCCTTGAACAAAAGAGAACTAAAGAGAACTAAACAGAAGATCCTAGGTGGAGGCCTTGGCCAGAATAGACCATGTTGCGATGTGTAGACAGACGGTGATGGTGAGATGAAGTTTCTCCCTGGAGGGTTAGCACCGGGAGGAAGAGGGTATATGTGTCTTTATTCCCAGACTGAGGTGTTCCCTTTGAGCCACCCGCCCCCAGGTGCTCACTGCCCCGCCCCCACTCAGCCAGCCCTAGGCGGCGCAGTGTGCTACCCCAACCCCAGCCCAAGGCCCTCCGCCCCTTGCATTGTCCCTCAGGCCGAAGTCTTCAAACCATCTGACCATCTGATGGAAGCAAACATTTCTTTCTTTCTTCTTTTTTTTTTTTTAAAGATTTATTTATTTTATTCGAGAGGGAGAGAGAGTCTTAAGTTGACACCACACTGACAGTGGAGCCCGACCTGGGGCTTGATCTCACAACCCCAGATCACAACCTGATCTGAAATCAAGAGTCGGACACTTAACTGACTGAGCCACCCAGGCGCCCCAAACACTTCTACTTCTGTCTAGGCTCCTGGGGATGTTCACACACAAGCATCGTTCTACTCTCTACAAGAAAGTGGGCCAGACTCACACCTGCCTCTGAGGTTTGACGTTGGAGCTGGAATTACTGGACAAGTTTGCTTTCTATGTCGAGGGCCTCTAATGTATTGTCATCGGAATGAGAAATTAAAATACTGAACCAGACATGTTCGATGGTTTACTAACCACAAGTGACTAGTATCTTTTGTAAGTAATGTTTTCAGGATGAGGATTTGGCTCAGCTGATCTCTCTTATATCCATGTCTCTTAAAATTTAATTTTGTGGGATGCCTGGGTGGCTTAGTCGGTTAAGCCACTGCCTTCAGCTCAGGTCATGATCCCAGGGTCCTGGGATTGAGTCCCACATTGGGCTCCTTGCTCGGCAGGGAGCCTGCCTCTCTCTCCACCTCTGCCTGCCACTCTGCCTACTTGTGCACTCTCTCTCTCTGACAAATAAATAAATAAAATCTTGAAAAAAATTTAAAAAGAATTTAATTTTGACACACTAGGTCCACATGGTGTATAAAACACAGAGTAAAAACAATTTATAACATTTTTGGCTAAAGAAGAGTTGTAGAAAAGTAGTTTCTAATCCAATCAAATTGGCGTTATTTATTTATTTAACTTTTTAAAAAATTATTTTATTATTTTTATAAGATTTTTATTTATTTGACACAGAGAGAGAGAGAGCACAAGCAGTGGGAGCAGCATTCAGAGGCAGAGGGAGAAGCAGCCTCCCCTGCTGAGCAGGGAGCCCGATGTGGGGCTCCATCCCAGGACCCTGGGATCATGACTCAAGCTGAAGGCTGATGCTTAACTGACTGAGCCACCCAGGCACCCATGGAGTTTTTTAAAAAGCCTAGTTTTAATGAGATTGCCTGAAAGGGTGTATGATCTTGGAATATTTAAGAAGTATCCATTTTGTTGTCCACTGGTGTCCTAATGGCAAAGTGTTTTCCAAATGATGCTTATTTGCAAGCTGTGAACAGAGGGGAGTGTCCCACAGTCACTTGTGGACCTGTCTCCAGGAGTGGAGTGGACGTCATGACGCGGGATTCACGCGGCCCAGAAGGGATACACTGGCATCCTGCTCCCCTCCTGACACCTGGCCCTCAGTGTGTATCTGAAAAGAAAAACCAGGACGGTTCCTGCTGGATAGACAATGAAGGAGGAAAATCCCCGAAATGCTTTTTCAAACGCAAACTCTGCTTGGTCTTTCAAACGTCTTTGACCCTAATTCTGTTGTGCTATAAACCGTGACATCTTTGAATTCAAATTTTATTGTTAAGAAAGGCAATGTTTCGGGCGCCTGGGTGGCTCAGTGGGTTGAGCCGCTGCCTTCGGCTCAGGTCATGATCTCGGGGTCCTGGGATCGAGTCCTGCATCGGGCTCTCTGCTCAGCAGGGAGCCTGCTTCCTCCTCTCTCTCTCTCTCTCTGCCTGCCTCTCCATCTACTTGTGATCTCTCTCTGTCAAATAAATGAATAAAATCTTTAAAAAAAAAAAAAAAAGAAAGGCAATGTTCCCTGTTAGGAGGTGCCCTTCTGGGGGCCTGCACCCACTGCTTGATACAAGGCTTTTTGACCGGTGGCATTAAAGACCTGAGCCTCTGAGCGCAGAAAGCATTCCTTAGTCCTCTTGGACCTCCAGCCCTGGGTGCAAAGGAATGGAAGGACCGCAGGGGCTTTCCTGTGGCCATCAACCTGGCGCCTGGTCCTGGGGGGAGCTGGGCTTGGCAGTCTGCCCATCCCGCTCTTGGACCCTGGCTCAGGGAGGGGGCGGGCAGCTGGCTCCAGTGCCCCGGGTCAGGAAAAGTGAGGGCGCCTGGGGTGCCCGGGGTGGGTACTGAGCTCACCCCTTCCCCCTGACCAAGGAGCAGGGGTGCAGGGATGCCGGAAAAGAAGTCCGGCCCAGGGAATGGGCTTACAGCTCTGGGAGGGCAGGCAGGAAAAGGTTTCCATTCCTCAGCGGAAAAGGAAGGAGAAAGCCTGGTTTTAAAATACCTCCTGGCCTCCGAAGGAGGTGGGGGGTGCAGAGCCGCCCCCAAACCCGCAGGCAACACAGGCATCAAGCCGCGAGCCTCGGGAGAAGCGGGTTTATGAGCCTTGAAACCCTCCGAGATGTGAGAGATAATATCCATAAAATCCAGGATTGCTAGAAAGCCACAGACTTGCTTCTCCAAACTGCTGAAAATAGAAAGTAGGAAGTGAAATTAACAGCGCTGGGGATGAGAAGGAAACCAGGCCATGTGTGCATAGCTCCAAAGTGAGAAAACCGCCCCATCTTCGGAGCACGTTACAGTACAGGTGCTGAACCAAGTGATCTCCCCTTATTATGTCATTTAATCCTCATAAAAGCCTGAGGAGATAGGTTCCACAATCTTGTGTTATCGATGAAATCCTCTTAGGTTGGGGAACTGGCTCCAAAGTCGCACAGTTGAATCCAGTTCTAGCGGACTCAAGAGGATGGATTTAATCACTCTGTCCATAGCTTTGGAACCTTTTCCACGAAGACTCACAGCACGAAATGGATCTTCATAAGAACCCAGCGCACGCACATCTACTATGTAACTGAAAGGAGAATTTCATGAAAAAGCGGGTACCCTCACCACCTACAGCGCCCTCTGATACCGTCTACTCGTTGTTTATTTAAAAGGAAATGCTAGTCACGACCTGGTAAATGCATTTCCTCCTCCATTAATGGGACAGGACCCCCAAAGAACCCCGTGGCCCCGACCCCTGCCTTCTGCTCCTGCCAGTGGAGGAGGTGCACTGGACCCAGAAGAAGAGGGCTCTACCAGCGCCCCTCTGAATTGCTGGGCTGGAGGGTAAATATCTCCCTGGATAAACAGAGCAGATTCTAAGATCCTCTGGAATCTTCTGGTCCTGCTGAATGACACCCCAGCACCTCATGAGAACAGGCCTCACAGATGTTGCAGGGAGTGTCGCAAATGAGACTGGCAGTGAACTGTGAAGAAAAAATGAGTAAATAGGTATAAAGGGGTACGGCGTGCATTGGTGAGGCAACCTTTACCCCAGACCTGTGTCCTCTTTCAGTGCTTGACCTGCAGTGTAGACGCAGCGTGCAGGAATTTCAGCAAAGCACCTGGCTGATTTCCTGAAAGCCGGCAGGGAACCTTAGGATGGTGTGTGGCTGAGTACACTCATTTCCCGCCTGACTGCCTGTCCCAGAGAGGGCTCCAAAGAGACAACCCGTGAGGGAGTTCTTTGTAAAAACAGAAGCACAGAACACGTGGAAGTTACCATTTGTAGACTGAATTGTCTCTGCCGCCTCGGAGGCAGTGTGAACCCCGAGAGGGTGGAGGACTTGTTTTCCCGGCCACCTGGGGTCCCCAGCACCTCGCCTAGGCTCCGGCATTTAGTTGCTCCTCAAGAACTCTCGGGGAATGTTATCATTAACTGATCAATATCTGCCTGAAAGAAGACTCCGGGCACATGTTCAGGCCTTCGTCCTCTCGCGGCCCACCTTCTCACCGGTGACACAGGTGGAGGCATGGATGACATATTTACCAAAGTTTCAGGTGGCCCCAAAAAACTGGGACAGCCAGAGCACTGGATGACAGAATCGGGGTCCAAAAATAACTTGGCAGCCTGGAATGGTGGGCTGACTCAAGATGAAAAATCATAGCGATCTGTGCTCTGCCCATAGGTCTCAGACTTAGCTTGGTGAGCCGGGGAAGAGGGGGGCGGGGGCTTCACAGCAATGCACGACAGGGACCTGTGGTTTTTATTGGAAACTAACAAATGAGGCAGCGATGTGGCAAGGTCGCCAACGCTGCAGACTTAGCCTGTGCAAATATGAGCTTAGTGAACAATAGAGGGAGGTCGGTGCCCCTCTGCTTCACGCAGGTCAAATGACGCTGGGAAACCTGGCTCTGAATGATGAAGGGTCACAGTGACACACTGTAAGCCTTCCAGAGGTGAGTATGTTGAATTTGCCCGCCTCAAAATCAAGGATCTCTGTTCAGCTAAGGCCGCTGGAAAGGGACTGACTGGCTGGATAACACAGCAAGGGAAAGATGTTATATGCAATTAACACAGAATTAACATCCAGAGTGTTCAGGAGCACCTTCACATCAACAAGGGAAAGGCGGGAGAGCGCGAGAAAAGAGGGCACAGGGGATGAACAGGCACTTGGCTGGAGAGGAAATTGGAACCGTTGCCAGCCAGCCTGGGATTCACCACTCATCAGAGGAATGCAAATGAAAACAACAGGACACTGATAATAGCAGAACTCTCTCTGGTAACCCTTCTGCTGAAACTGAAAAAACTGCATAAAATGCTGAAAGGAGCCTCTGTAACCGAAAAGATGGGACAGCATCACTCTGTAGGGCACGGCGATCAGGGAGAAGCTGCTCTCTTCCTGAGGACCTCTGCCCACTAGTGGAGGGCTGCGCTCTCCTCCTGAAGGCCGCTTGGGAGGAATATGTCCCCATCATAGCCCCTAGTGGGAAGTCTAACGGGAGACCCATTTCCCCCCCAATAAGCCAGGTTAAGGGTAAACCAGAAGGGACCAGCCTGCTGGGATTACGGCCTTGTTCTGTTGACCTGGGCAACCCAGGGTATCCCAAGCCTCGACTTTGAGTAGCTCAGCACTGGCCATGCCCCCAAGGCTCTGTGGAGGAAATTACCTTCATCCCGAATTATTCCTCCAGATAATAAAACAACCAGCACGTCGTCAAAGATAGACTCGGGAAACAAGGAAATCAGGCTCCAGCCTGCTGCCCTAGAAGCCCAATTTCTGCAGCTACCAGACTCCACATCTGACCCCTGGGGGCCGGGGTGGCACTGAGGGAGTGGGTGGCCGTCAGCCGCCACACACCCCAGCAGCTGGGGGTTGTGTGAGTGTGTGACAGCGTGTGTGTGCGTTTGTGTGCCACCAGCATGCT